ACCTGTTCTGTAAACTATTACATACATTTGCTAGTAGTGGCAGTTAGTTTTGCCTGTATAGTGAAACAACATACATAAACATATGTTGAAATAAACTTGTTTGAAAGTTCAAAGAAATGATACTCAAGTACCAAAAAGCTTTCTTACTATCATATCTACAGTAATGTTGAAATGTGCCTGCACTGGACTGAACGAAAGTGACCACCAACAGGCATTATAATTTTTGGCAAATGTACAAAATTCATGCTGCTAACCTCGCGCTTTATTCTGCACAATAAACAGAAGTATGGCTGCAATGAAACATAAACTTGAAATAAAAATACATTTATGAAACAAAATTAAAATGTTTTTTATTTACATATATAAACATGAAATCATTATTAAAAATAAAAATACTCATTTATTGTTTAGGTTTATTGAGAAATATTATTTTCGGGTCTTGTATATTACTTGAAACCATAAGGAGAGTATGTGATTATTAAAAAATTAAAAATATATATAATTTGCATTTTATGGATGATAAAAAATTTGGGGGATTTTAAATTAATGTACTAAAACAAAAAAGTAATAAGTTTAAATGTGGAACAAATATAAATATCATAATTATTTCTTATAAATACCATTTCCTAATGTAATTTTCCAAGATATTAAAGATCATAATGCAAAAAACTAAATTTATCAAAAGTAACTCGCTTTGTTTCTTAAACAACATGCATTTATTCCTTCCTCTTCCCTTCCATCCTGCCCTGCTCCATCAACCCCATTCACTGGTGCTCCATCCTGGGCCATCCATCCTCTGTCTTTACGCCTGGCTTTTATCAGGTCCTTGGCAATGAGTTCCAGTTTCTCTTGCAAGAGCAGCTTTACATTTAACCCGTTCAATTTGCCCTTCTTCTTTGGCTGTCTATCAATGCAAATGGAGCATTTATTCAGGATGGTGGAATTATTTCCACCGAAACATGTAGAGTTTCGAAAGTTTCTTTTAACTTATGTTTATTAAACTTTACAAGTTAATTATATCTCTCAACACACGGTCGGTCGATTTGACTGAGTCATGTGACCTTTTGTACTTGTTTAAAGTCTTTATAAATTTAATACTTATAACTCTCAATATATTGGGTATATCTTCACAAAATTTGGTAGTCTTTCAGTTAATATTACAAATCTTTCACATACAAGAAGTCATATTTCTTAGTGAAGTATTTTTAATAAAATAAAGATTTGTCCATGAATATATTGAGTATTTGTTTTGAATAGTCCGTGTGCAAAGTAATTTTCATGTTGAAATTAAAAATATTTTTCGTAATCTCAAAAATCTTAAATTTCCTGTTTATAATCCCTTAAACCTCCTTAATGTATTTCAAACGTTTTTTTCACTAAATCCTTATAGTTTATATGTTATTTTCTCTACCCTATCTCAAAACGAGATCGGTCAATTCGACCAACCTCGTAACCACCAAAAAAAAATTTAAGTAAACCTAAATTAACTTTTTTTCTTTCTAGAATGACTTCAAGTTGTAACATGAAACTACATTCGTTTATCCTAAGTAGCTCTAAGTTCGTAGCATTATACATCTACTTATAATTAAATCTTATTGTTTTATTGCCCTTTTTAACTGTGTCTAACTACTACCCATGCTACCCATACTACCCAAAGATAATGAGGGAAATTTAGTATTGTGGTTGCCATTCCCAGTTACTCTGGTTTAATTTAAGATAAGAGTCTGTGCCATTAAGTTATCTTTTCTCTGTAAACCAAACATTCATTGATAAAGTATGCTTTTACAAATTGAAAAAGAAGAAACAAGAAATATACTTTACCTTAAATTATAAAATATAACCTCCGAGTCTGTAGAACTTTGGTTCAATTTGAGTTATGCTTTCCATTAGATTTCATTTCTGTGCATCATGTTAGCTGACTTGTGGTGGCTTGAAAATTGAGTGTATATATATGTTATAGTCCTACGATAAATTTATTAAAAATATCGTACCTCTAATGAAGGAATCCACACCAATTTATTTTATAAGTTAGATATCTCACTTAATGAGGTTGGATTTTTGAACAATATCTTCCCTCAGATACACAAGCTTGGGCATTTCATGCAAAAAAAAACATCACCACCACACGAGTGGTAACAAATGATAAAAACATATTAAATATTCCCAAGGAAAATTCTTTTTTGTCATGGTGATGTTTCAGATAACCACTTCAGATCTAGATATTTAGATCTGGTTTTATCCAAAATGTCATCATCATAACTATTTTTTTTCAACATTTTCATTTAGCTAAGCATTTGACAAAGACTACAAACTTCTTGTGATGCACGTTTAATTTGTAAGGTAAACAGCTTTAACACAGCATGCAAGCCAAAAGTATTTAGTAGAGTTGTAACCAACCCACACCTGTTTCAAATTAAGGGAATGTGGATGAAGAAGACGGTTTTATAACATAGCAGCAAATGGCTGCTAACTTGTCAGGTATACACTGTGTCCATTGTATTGGAACCATTTGTGATTTTGTGCTATTAATGTTTTAAAAGCAAGGAAGAGGCAGAGTAAATGTGTTCTTTCATGTATTAAAATCATGATTTGTTGCCGGCTGGTCTGGAAAATGTGATAAGCTCATTAATTGTTACAAACAACTAAATACAAAGAATAAGTATTAACATCAATATAAAGTCAGTACATGGAATTTATTTAGTTAAATCATTTCTTTAGAAAAG